CCTTCCCTTCCCTTCCCTTCCCTTCCCTTCCCTTCCCTTCCCTTCCCTTCCCTTCCCTTCCCTCCTCGTCCCTCCGAGGGCTCTGACAGGGCCGCTACGAGCCGCTGGGTCCCGGCCATGAGGTGACGGGACCGGGAAGGAGAAGGAGGAGGAGGAGGAGAGCTCCTGGTGGGGATCCGAGCGGTGCCCGCTTCCCCCACGGCCGCCTGAAACCCACTGGGATTCCGCGTTGGATGCCTGCTCGTCTATCCCTGACAGAGCAGCTGGTGTGGCCTGGGCTATGTCCTTTGCATGGATAAGGAGGAATGTCCAGGCCGCAGACAGGAGCAGGGAATAGGCACGACCACGGGCGCTCCTTCACAGCCGCGCTGTGAGGGCGCGTAGGTGCAGGCTCGGGTGTGCTTGCCAGGGAAAGGGGGACATACATCTTTATTGCCTGCTTGCAGTCATTTGTCGCATTGTCGTGAAACCATTCGGCATTTTCCTGAAAGCACAACAGAGATTATTGTGGGAAACGACAGAGGAGCGCCGGTTGTGTCGGTGGGTGTTTCACGGCACCTGCTGGAAAAGGCTGCAACTGCGTCCTTGGGCCGGGATTAGGCCGGAATTATCATAAAGAGGTGGATTATTATGAGGTGGTGACCGGGGCACAGAATTCACTCCTTGGTGTGGCTGCAGTCGCTCCTGGGCTCTCCTAGGCAAAATGTTGTCTTTCTTCATTGTGTGAAGAAAGTTATTGTCCACTATTTAACAAAAAAAAAAAAAAAAAAAAAAAAAAAAAAAAAAAAAGCTGAACCACAGGTTTATGAAAACAAGCGTCAGAACTACCCAGCAGGAGATCCTCAGGGGAAAAACACCCTGATCACTTTACTGATCACTTTAGATTGTTTAGTACTTTAAGGAAAATATTTTTAAACACCTAAACACCTTTTATGTCTGGCCTCAGATAAGACAAGGAATATGTTTTTCCGTATTATCTAAAGCTTTAAAAATAATATTTAAACATCAAGGTAGCATGTGCATGTTATAAATATTTCATATATATATATATATATTTTTTTTTTGCATGTGTTCATTTCGTAGACCAAAGTTTCTCTGAGCTGTTTAGAGGATTTTCTGTTTGCTGAGGATCTTAACCTTGAGAATGGCAGTATGAACTAATGTGGAAGTAAGCAGTAGTTATTAATTTTTAATTGATCTCGATTTTACAAAGCAGTATGAGGAGTGAAGGGAGTTGACACATGCGTTTTGGTTTTAGAAGTGCTACCAGTTCCAGATATGTCACATTGTGTGCCCAATTAATCTGTAAAATGGGAACGATAGTACTTATCTCTTTTGTTAAGTGGGTAAATTGGTAATATAATCTCAAAGTTCAGTGGGCTATAAAAATATTGGTGAGTAATTCCATTTTTTCTTTGCCTTGATTTATTACAGGTGGCTATCTGTCAGGCTTGAGCTTTTTGGAAATTTAATGGTATCCTTTGTTCCCTTGTTTGTAGCACTGTCTGGAAATACAGTGAGTTCTTCTACAGTGGGTTTACCAATATCCTGTGCTCTAAATGTAAGTAATAGTATAAACATTTTGCTGTTAACATCACTTGCAGTTAATTTATCTGGTGTTTTTCAAAGGCAGGCTTTGGTTTTTTTCCTTTAGCTTTTCAGGAGCTTTAACCTTGGTAACCTTTCCTGTGTGTATCTACCCACGGACGATGCATAGAGATTATGCTAATATTTAAACCAAAATAGATTAGGTCTTTCCAAGAAAGAGATTATTAAAAGAAAATACCTAAAGATTCCTGCAAATCCTTGGCTGCTTTTCCTTTGAGAACTGTATTTGGTTAGGGGAATGGCAAATTCACAATTTTTTATCATAATTTCTAATTTTGATACAACTTTTTGATATAACTGTATTCTCAAAAGTGAGAATATATGACAAAAATTGATTATGCCACAGGTCTTCAGAACACAATATTTGGTTGTAACATTTGTCTTGTTTTAAGCAGCTAATGCTCTACAAATCTGCACATCTGACAGTTGTGACTTACAAAGTATTTCCTCAACTGCAGTTGCAGAGTCTGATTTACTGTGGATGGAGTATATTGGATCCACATCCAGACAGCTAAACTAAGAGGAACCCTGTAAGTGAACTTACAGGCTGAGTTCAGAATAGAACTGAAAGGTGGAAAAAGGGGAGACTGAAGCTTGTGAAGACTAGGTGGAGTCTGGAGTGTTAAACTGCATAGATCAGGAGAGTGGATTAAGGTAAAAAATGTGGGACAGAAACAAGGGCATGGCAAATACCACAGCTGCCAGTGTGCATGTAACTTCTTCACATGAGCCAAATGCATCTCATACAAACAGCTTTTAAGAATCACATTAAAGTACAGATTTGCAAATTACTTTAACGTTGTTCTAGTGCGAGTAACATGAAGTTTAAATGAAGAACAGGCACAACCTCTGCTACCACTTCAACTGTCCTGTTTGGTCATTGAGCTCCCTCAAAATTGTCACTGCTCTGTTTACATGTAACTTGTAACTGTTGTTGGCCTCTTATGCCTGCCTGTTGGGTCACATCCACTGTGACTGCACTTGGTCATGGTGTGTGTTCACCATCTCTAGGAGCATTAGTTCAGCCTATAAATCTGTGCAGATATTCATGTTGCTGAATATGTCACCTTTCCTATAGGAAATTAAGGATATTTCACTTAGAGTCATAGCCTTCTAATTTTTCTTAACAGTGCTCATGAATGTAGTCCCCAGTGCTCTACAAACCTAAGTATAGTAATAATTCATGTGTTGTGGCAGTTGCCAGGTGCTGGGCAGGTGATTAGTCAGCCACAAAATCAGAGCACAGAAAATGCACAAGAAATCCCTTGCCCTTTTTATTTCACTTTAATGAAGAACTGAGCTCACAGATAAGCATGCAATTTTTGTCTTCCCATTCAGCAGCTTCAAACTGTTAAAACTTCCCTTGCAAAGATCCATTCCCAAGATTATTTGTCTCTGTTCCTTCTGTTAATGTAAGGATTTATGACAGCCTGTTTTAGGATGGTGTTGTAATTGTACATTCACATTCTGCTGCTATTTAAGACCTTTTGTTTCCTGGGACACTGTTGTTCCACTCTTGTTTTCTGGGACACTGCAGTCAAATCTGGATCTACTTGTAAAACACTCTGACCTTGAACTGTGGGAAGTGCTGGAACTATATGACTTAAAGGATTTTGTCCAGTCACTGCCAAAGAAGCTCCTCCATGAGATGTCAAAAGGTGGTGAAAATCTCAGGTACATAATCAAGAAAGTGCTAATGCTGTTATTTTCCAGTACTGTAAAACTATGCGATCCTTCCAGAGAATTTACTTCAGAAGGTATCAGGATAGAAATGACCCATCTCCTGTCATTTTTAGTAGAACTATTCTGGTAGTGCAAGCTTCTTTGAGATGAACACTGGTCACAGTGGTATAAATTCTGATGGCCTCTGCTGTATGAGAAGCCAAGGGAACGAACTATTTTCAGCTCAAGAATATAAGTGTAAGGAAGGGGGAGTGTGGTGTTGCAATTCATGCAGCACCTTATTAGATTTGGATAGAAAAGTGCTCATTTATTTAAATGGAAAAAAATCAAATCAGGAAAAAAAAAACCCAACAATAAACCGAAAAACTCAACAACAACAACAACAACAACAACAACAACAACAAATCCAAAGAAAACCCCAACAAATTTGAAACCCACCAAAGTGCAGAGAGCTTAATGAAATGAGTAAATGAGGCTGAAGAGCTGATTTTTCTTCAGAAATCTTTCTGCTCTTTTATTGTAGAGTGCCTGTTATGGATGCAGGAAGGATTCTAGAATATGATACACCACAGAATTTGTTACAATGAAAAGGTGCCTTTTCTGAAATGGTTGCAGAGGCTGGGATAAGAAGATAATGAATGAGTGAATTCTGAAGGAATGCTGAAGAGATCTCTGGCATTCCATATATATAGGTGCAATATTTTATATTCCATATAAAACAACTGACTTACTCAAGAGCTCCTCGCAACATTGCTGTTTACTACAGCTACAATCTGTATATATTGAGCACGTTTCTTAAAATTCAGATTTTATACAAGTCACTTGTTTTTATTATATTGGCACTGGGAAAACAGAATGAAGTGGGGATTTTCATGGCATATGTTTAAACTGTTGCATTAATAAAGACTGATTGAAAAATAAATCTTGCTGTTGACATGCTGGTTTTAATTAACTTGAACTAAATTGTTCTGACATTATGCTAATTTATTTAATAATTCTTATTATGATTACATATTCAGGAAAAAACAAAACTGCTTGTTGTGTGGACATGGAGACAGATGTCACTTGGGGCTGATTTTTAGGATATGCACATCCTCACGTATACTTAGGTAGTTCTTGAGGCAATAAATGTGCCCCATTAAGCCAGTTTTCCTTTTGTGATTTCTGAAAAACTAAAAAACCACTTCTTACATATCTAATTGAGTGCTACAAAATCCCATTGTGAAAGAATCCCAAAAAATGCGGTCAGGTGGAGTTGCCTCTTTGCCAGTAAATATTAATGTAAACTATAGAAATTACAGAAGCAGGACAGGTTATGTACACTTACGTGAAGTGTCAGGTAAATGTATCCGCTTCTGTAGGCCACATAAATTGTCATTTCTGTTTTTATTGCAGTTCTTGAAGCTCTTGAAATTTAATACCAACACAGCCAATGTAATCAAATCTTAAGATCCCCATCAACTGCTTAAAAAAGCCCAACAAACGGAATAAAGTTCTTGGGTACAGACCTGTTATATTAGCTTAATATTGACACCTGATTTATCAAGTACAATCTTAATTTCTTGCCCAAGAGAATGTTTTGGACACATAGGCTAGGGGATGTAGCCTTCATTACCTCAAAAAGGGTCCAGAGAAAACAGTCAGAGTAGAGGCATCAGTACATGGTAATTTTTACTTTATTTACTTTTATTTGTGGAGTGGGCTTTCTGTACTTACTGCCAGGGTGACATAACCTTTCACTTCCACTTCAGGCAACGGCTGGGAGAGCTGCAGACTGAACAATGGCAAAGCCTGAGAGAAAAGAAAATGCTGGACTAGCGTCAGCAAAGCCATTCCTTCTCTTTCAGCAAGGTGTGCCCCTCACATTTGACTATAACTTCAGAAAAAGGAGTGCAGTGAAGGCAGAAGCAGCAGGAAATGCTCCTGCTGTGTTTCCATGCAGCAATATCTTACTGAAGCAAACTCCCTAACAGGCTTAGGGTGGGAAAGGCAGTTTTGCCTTAAGCATATTAGCCAGGGTCTGCAGCCTCGCCTCTCCTCTCCTCTCCTCTCCTCTCCTCTCCTCTCACACCTGATGTTGGAGACTCACTCTAGGAAACCAAGAAGGGCCGTTTGGCCGAGTTCAGAACGGACTCCACTCACCCTTGCACCCGCCAGCACAAACAAAGCCATGTGGTAGCTCTGCAGCTTGGCACACACCTTTCCCCCCTTGACCTTCCTCCTCCAAACAGGAATTCCTTGAGCTTCTTTGGTATTTGGGAACTGGGTTCCAGTATTGTCCTGTGGAACCACTCGTAGGAAGAGTGGGACAGGCAGGAGACGAGAGCAGACTTTAAGAATGAGGCTCCTAAGGGGCCAGGACTCCATCATTCCTTTTCACAGGAAGGAGCATGGAGGAGAACCTGCTTATGCTCTGCTCCCACTTCATTCTCCACAGTGCCCAAAAATCGCACATGCACCACCCTCTCAGGAGCTGCTTCCCTCAGCCCTGCTCCTTGCCCTTGCTCTCCATGTTCCTGGTAGTATCACAGGAGAAACTGCATAGAAGTAGAGCAGGAACTCCCCCTTTCCATCACACCAAGAGACACGTTTCTGCTTTTTGCCAGCTTTGAAACATTTATGAAACACTGTAATTGTTCAGGCTCTGCAGACTTTACAGCTCCTCAAGACAAGGCAAATGTAGAAACGCTCTCACAGCAAACACAACCTCATCTTCTGTGCTTCAAAGGAATTTGAGGAAGACAGAGAATTTCCTTGAGAAAGTGAAAGAAGACAGATCCAAGGGGTAGAAATTGCTTTTATTAAAAAAATCTAAAATGTTATTTATAAAATGCATTTCATCATCTGCACTGGGAAATAATTAGGGTACACATAATTTTTGAGGCCTCTTAATGCTTTCAGAATTTCAACTTGTCAAACAAGCCTTAGCTAGAGAAATTTGTTATACATCTACTACCACAGGCAATCATAAGGATTACAGAAAGATTTCAGCCTTCAAATATCAGCTTTTTTACAGAGAGACTTATGCTAAGCAGCCCAAGTGCATACCTGGAAATATCCACTTAGTGCAGTGGAGTCATCTTTAAAATTCATTTGTTTGTGCCAAAATACAGTATTAAAAGATACAAAATAAATAATTCAGAAAATTTAATAAATAAGGATGCATTGTGATATCCAGTGTACAGTAACTTCTCTACTAAAAAATCTAACCTGTATAGAAATCTGAATACCCTTTTGTGAATTTAGTTTTCACAAGTTAACAACCTGCTCTTCCCTTCCAGTTCCCAGATTAACACTGAAGTAAATTTAACTCCCCCAGGGTAAAGGAGGATGTGAAAGAAAAAAGTACTTCATTTATTTGCTTTGGGAGTTTTAACAGCTCCTACCTAACTTGTCACAAAACTACAAAAGCTTTTAATCATTTAACTTCCCTGTGATGTGGTTCTATTTCTGTATAGGTCTGCTTGTTTTACACAGTCCATTAAAGACATGAAGACCAAAGTCCTACTGTAACTCCAGTTACAGGATTTTGAGATGAACTTACAGCAGGGCAGAAGGAAAGGCCACAATGACTCTAAAGACATTGGTACAGATGTTGAACACATACATTTTATCTGCAAAGCAAAGGCCTCCAGCAGCAACTGAGGACTGTGCTGCATATTGGCATTTATACATGGTGTCACTGAAGAGGCACTTCTTTCTCTGCAGGAGTTTTACTTACTGGAAGTTCTATACAGACTTAGTTGGGGTCACTTTCAAAGAGGCACAAAGGAAAAAAAAGAATCCTCAAATAAAAAAATTACTTTGGTTTTCAACTCAGGAAAATTAAACATATGTCAGTAGTACTTTGGGAATCCTCTGTCAAGTTAAACAATGCTGATGGAATGGCTGTTTGCAACTGTGATTCAATTTAAGAGGTTTCTAATTGGATTACTTCAAAGATGCATTTAGACAATAGCTATGCAAACAGCTGAATCAGCACAACTGATTTACAGCAGTGCCATAAATCAGGCCTACTGCCAGGACAGTAATAAGCCTATTTTAATATAGTCATAGGTTAAAATAATAAATCTAAGCCCCATACTTTATCTTAGCAAGGTTAATATAAAATTATTCTGGAGAAGAGAAGAAAATCCTTACAACCACCTATTACTAGAGCTTACCTGATGAAGACTGGGCTGATGGATGTTGAAACCAGTCTTAAGTGAATGACGTATTTTTTTGGCATGAAGTTCCAAGCAGATAATAGAATTCAGCTGGTGTTTGATTATTGCTTAATCTCTCCAAAAAGAGAACTGTCACCAATTCTTTTTTTTTTTTTTTCAGATCAGTAATTTTGTTCTCCTCACATATTTTCAAGATACCTGGATAGCGACCTATTTGCCTAAAAGAGAGTCCTAAGAAGTGCCACCTCAAACCCCGAGTTACACACAACACTGCTTCTTTCCCAGTAGGACAGCTATAACCTCTGTTCAGTTTAGAGTGGGGATATGACAAAACCTTAACCACGTATGAGTCAAAAAGTACAAAGTAGTTGGGTCAATTTTCATTTGCTAGGGCTACAGGAACTACATTTCATCCAGGCCATCCCTTCTGTCCCACACTTTCTCCCCAGGGACAATATGGCTTGGGGTACTTCAGGGAGAAGATGTCACACACACTTGTAAATGCAGAACAATGAAATTCGTGTTGGTCAAATTCAAGGGAAGACAGGCAGGTGTGGCTTCAAGATACATAAAGTCACCGTAATTTTAAAATAAGGCAGGAGCAGGTATGAATATTTGGCAACATACCCTCGTTCTCTGTGGAGAACATCAGTGGTAAAACAGCAGCACCTGTGTTTAACCATCACAGCCAGGTCAGGAATGAAGCCCTTGGAGACCAAGAAACTGCATTGGCAAGAGCTACATTTTCAATAAGGTTTCCTAATCATGGGACAATTTGCCACAGAGCCTCAGCAATACCATTATGCTGTTATGAACAGCAGAAGAATCAAATGAATGCCTCAGTCTCATTTAAGCTGCCAGATGCCTTTAGGAAAGGTGCTTAAATGTTTGAATGGCTCAATCTAACAAATAAGTGTAAGCTGAACACTGCCAGCACTCTGTGCGTTAACGCTGCTTCACAGTCCTTCCAAGCAAATACACTGGACCCAGGAATATCTCAGTACCACATCATCTCAAACCTTTGGTCACACTCTCTTTACAATTTAAATACACACCGCTCAAGGATTTGCTAATAAAATTTAGCAAGAAAATGTGGGTCTGTCATCACTGGCATTTACATCCAATATCCAATCTCCAAGTAAACACATCACACTTCAGAACTCGTTTGTACCTTTAAAGTAACATCAAGCTTTAGCAAAGGTAGGTGTCCAGTAACACCTAACAGGAACAGGTGAAAATTGAATAGAATGCAGCTAAGATTAGGTTCCATTGCCAGTCAGATACATATGGATCCTTTTGGAGAGCTGGAATGCAATTGAGAAGAGTTTCTTTTCAGTTAAAATTAGTCTTTCGTAAATGCTTGTTAGGGATTTCTATAGCACTGACTTGGAGAGGCCAGGACCCAGCAAGAATTCCTGCTTGGATGGCTACGCCCGTCACAACTGCCAGGTCAGGATCTACGGAGGTGTTGGGTTCCTTTCCAAAGAAGTCCCGAATAACTTCACGTATTTTGGGAATGCGTGTGGAGCCTCCAACTAACACAATTTCATCCACTTCTGCTTTGTGCAGGTGCCCTTCCTGCAAAACTTGTTCAATGGGCACAAGAATCTTCTCAAAAAGGTCCTCATTTAACATCTCAAACAGCTTCCGAGAGATTTCTGTTTCAAACACAACTTCAACAAAGCTGTCCTCTACTCTGGAAGTGTCTCCAAGATTTTTCAAGCCTTTTGTGTTCTGTGAGGCCTCGCCTTTTAGT